CTTATTCTTTTCAAGCATGCAGGGGCTCAAGCCTCGGGCCGCGGCACCGGTCTCCGAAGATGCGCCCCTGGAGGCATTGGAGGAACAGCGCCACCGTGACGGGTTCTCCCGCCGAATCACGACCGCCTCGTGAAAGTCGGCAGCTGGCGACGGCGGCGCTGCCGATGGAATCGCAACGACGCCGTGCTCGGGCTCGGAGCCTTCAAGCTCAAGCGGAACAGGATTCGGCCCAGGAAGAGGACGAGCTGCGTGATCGGAGGCATGTCGCAAGAGCGGCGGGCCACGGACGATCTCCTCGGCCTCCCCAGTCTGCCAAGCAACCCACGCAGAGGGGATCCGCTACGCCGCGGTGCCTGTGAACGGCTCGCAATTGACCAAGGTAATGTTCTCGCTGGGCCAGCGCAGAGTTCCTTCCAGGAGCTCGGAGAGATTGCGTGGCGGTGTACTCGGCGTTTAATATCTCGATCTGGTCAGTCCCATAAAGGTGTGCTCGAAAACCGCTTGCCAAAACCCGACGACATTCAGGCGTCACCATGGCGGGCTCGTCGGGGAACAACTTCGTGACGCACTTCGTGTAGATGTCCTTCATCTTGTCGTTCGCATGCACCGCTGCACGAGCGGCCGCCTGCCTCTCCTCCTCGGTCGAGTTGTCGCCAGCCAGCGGGTACATGGCGCACGGCAGCGGCGAGAAGCGGGCCTCGTAACGTCGGCTCAGCACGGCATTCAGTTTCAAAATCTGGGCACGTGCCCACTTGGCAAACTGGCCGTCCAGTAAGGGAGCTTTCGTGACCCCGAGGATTGCCCAAGGTTTGCGAGTGGGGTCGTCGTTGTTCCAGCTGATGAGAAGGTCTAGCATCTGTTGGCTGAAATTGCTGACGCATGACTCCTTACCGAGAATCAGGTCCATCTTGCTTGGCTCATCCCGCGAAGGCTTGATACCGTCTCCAAGTAGCGGGTACAGAAGGTTGGAGTCTGATATCTCTAGCAACGACACGTAGGCCCCCAGCTCATGGAACGTCCTTTCTGAGGGTAAATACTATTTCACCTTGCGCGCTCTAACGCGAAACACGTATTTCCAATACTGATCCATGCTCTCGGCATCAACTCCAAATGTAGGGGGGTCTTCTTCTCCTTGAGGCCCATCATCTGCTGAGCTAATGAAACAATCGATGCCGATCCCGTGCGCCAGCTTCTTCAACATAGCGCGCTTCATATCCATGAGAAGGTTCGTCCACCTCGACTCTGCGGGTCGTGGGTCCGACGCGCCGAAGAAAGCTTGGACCAAGGCAATTGTAATCTTGCTGACTGCCTCGTCCTTGGACGCGCAGCACGGGCGACCGCTGCTCGGGTCGAATCAGTAATGGACCAGCTCGCCCCCGCTCAGGCTACCATTCAAGAGCGGCACCAGCGCCTTAAGATCCTTCAACAACTGCGACCCGTTCTCCCCCTTACGTTGATGGAAGCTTGCATCCAGCTTGTACAAAATGTCCGCAACGAGATTGAAAGAGTGGGCGAAGGGTGGAGCAATGCCGATCACTCTGCGCACCTTGGCTGCAACCAGCATCTCCACGCCATGCCGCATCGTGTGATGTTTGATCCCACCAAGCTTCATTTTGCCGCGGCGGTGTCTGTGCACTTGACAAGTGTCTGGCCAGTAGAGGAGCTTGTGGTCCAGAGCGCTGCCGAGGTCCAAGGCATGCTGACCCCACATCTTCAGACTGAGAATGTTTGCAGATGCTCTATCGCACATGGGTTGGAACGTCCAACTGCTCACCTTCGTAGATGTCTCTCGAACGGCCTGCTCTTGAAGGATATCGAACGCTTTCGGCAAAGTGTGTCTGATGCCAGGGAACAAGCAGTTGGCGGCACCACCTTTAACTTCGATCGGCTTCGCCAAGAAGTATTCCTGGAACAGCCCATGCCGATTGTCTGTCTTGTTCATGAGGGCCATGCTGACAACGGAGCGCTGGACGAGCGTCGGAGTGGCCATGCTTTTCAATATCACGCGGTAGCGTTCTGAAGGTTTCCAGTCCTGTTTCGTTTCGACTTCGTCCCACATATGACCGGATATAAAATGTGAAAACCCGGTTGAACCGCCGACTTCAGCCAGCATGGTGCCACTCCGGTCCAAACACATAGTGATGCCCTGCAACTGGCGACCCATTGAAACATTTACATCTGTCGTCACCAACCGCCTGTGGTCAACGCCAATGTTGCAATGCAGTTTGTAGTCGAGAAATGCTGCCCTTGCTGCGAGGAGGAAATCTGAAGCGTCCAACCCCTTGCGTATCCTACCCAGAACTCGTTGCTTCTTATGGCCGATGGGCTTATCGGCACCAGGCACGAGCGCTGAGATGGCGGTCATGTTGGTGTCGAGCTCGGCCTTGGCGTCTTTGGCGGATTGCTTCAGACGATCCTCGTATTTACTTATTTTCGCATCTCGTGCGTGAGCTATGTGATATGCAGATCTCCTGGCAAAAATCTGTTTTGCAGCTGGCACGATGACGCGGGCTTCGAATCCATCCATGTCGATTTGTGGAGCGCCTGCAATTGGAGGGCCATGAACTGCAACACTGTCTCCTGCGGTGTCTTCTTGGGCAGCTGGATGGTCACGGGCATGGAGCTCGGCAACTGAAGAATCTTGACGCACGGCGAAGTCTGCATCTGGAAGGTCCTGATGGGCGCCGAGGTTTGCAACGCCATGATTATCACGACGGGCAACGCCGTCTGCAGCTGGATGGTCACGGGCAGTGGTGTCTGCAACTGGATGGCTATCGGCAGCGATGTCATCGGCCAAATGGCCGACTTGATCGTCGTCTTCCATGCTACCGTATTCCGCCAAAACGGCATCCAAATCATCTAGCATCATTTTTGGTTCCAAAATTGTCAAGTATGGAAGACCGGATATGATATGTAACCACACGCATCTGGGCATATTCTGACGAGGGATTTCGTCGCAAACCAACCGCTGAGCCAAAAATGACAACGGCCGGTGCAAATTTCAACCACAATGACAGCTACACTTGGCCCCCTAGTGCCTCATGAAGGTCTAATGCGCATAATGCAGAGGGCCCCGGGCGGGTGAGAAACTGCAGGATGGGGAAGGGAGGGGGGAGGACGGCGCGAAGAGGAAGGAACATATTGCAAGGAAGAAGGAAGGACGGGAAAGGAGTGGGGAAGGGTGAGAAGGGGCCACTAATGCGCCTGTGCAAGATTCGAGCGTCGTGTCGAAGTGTTTGATTGCCAGGCGCGTACATGTCGTGCTCGCGATTGCCTCCAGCTTACTTGCAGATTCATCTATGCACGGGGCCTGTATGCACAACAATGCGTGTGTACACAACCGTGTGCTTGCGTGCACCACAATGCCTGTTGTGCCAGAATGCCTGTGTACACCAACGCCGATGCTGCAACATATGCGCGTGCTACAACACTGCATGTACACCACAGCGATTGCGAGCAACACCGCGCCAATATGTTACAACGCATTTGCACCACAGCGCCGTTGCACACCACAGCCGCCGCTGCTGCTGCAGCTGCGGTTGTGCACAGGCAACTGCCCGCGCACGCCACAATGCCGCTACAGCGTGCATTGCCAGCGCCACGAGAAACAACAGGACAAACCAAACGATACACTCCTCAAGAAAGATGAGATGCATCGGGGCGGTGTAATCGCTTTGAAATAATTAACCGCGTGTTTGAAAGCATATCCTGTAACCTCTGCGGCGCAGCTGCGTACTGTTAGCCTTGACGTAACATTTCGATCACCAGGGCGATGATGATTTCAAGAGCGTTGCGTGAACCTGACGCCCCACCCGTGCCCCTCCTGCAGTAAACCTCCACCTCCGCCCCCCGCGCAGAGCCAACCCCTGAGTGGACCTCGGACAAGACGAGGCCAGGCCGGCCCTCACGCGGCAGCGTCTCCAGACACGCGTCGGTCAGCCGCCGAAGCGGCCCGCCTGGCCCGGGCTGCCCGCTGCCCGCGAGACCTCCGAAGGTGGCGCAGCGCTCTGCTGGGGCAGGTTCGTCACCACGTGGACAGGGCGGGCCACGTCGGCCTCGGACATCTGCGAGCGGCTCATCAGCTGCGTGATCAGCTCGCTCTGTTGCTCCGCGATCTTCTTCATCTCGCCGAGGCCGTCGTCTGCCGCGACCTTCGGATGGCCGATGGCCTCCTTGAGCTGGTGGCCCTGTTGCGTCACTATGTCCATGATCCGCTGAAAGCACCGCTCGCTGCTCTTGTGCTGGCTCTCGACCAGCTGGGTCATGTCGAAGAGGGCCCGCTGCAGCTCGGCCACCGCCATGGCCCTCGTGCGGGGCGGGGGGGCCACCCTCTTGGGCAAGGGCGCCCCCAGAGGTGGCGGCTTCCGCGGGGCGCAGCCCTCGCTGGTCGGAACGCTGTTCGGGTTCGGGCAAAGGCCAGCCGAGAGGTCCCGCGCCGAGGCCTGGCGGTGCCCCGGGCTGCCGAGCTTGGGCGGCGGCGCCTTGGGGCGCGGCGGGGCAGTCCAGGCGCCCCCGCCTTGGAGTTCGTGACCCTTGATCATCTGCTCGAGCTCCGCCTGCGCCCTGGCCTCGGCGGCCCCGTTGATATCGAGCTTCTTTTCTTCGTCGGCCTTCTCCCCGTCTGTCTTCTGCCTGTGCGCCAGGCGGCCCTTGCACTGCACGCAGTCCGCCCAGTAGCAGTGCTGGTTGCTGCTCGAGTGCCTGGCCCACGGCGGATGGGCGCAGCCCCCCTGGGCCACCTCCCCCCGGGCGCCCGGGCACCGAGACGCCGCGTCGACCATGCTGATGCACGCCCGGCTGAACCACATAGCTTTGAGGCAAAGGTGCCTCCGGCGGTGGTCGCTCGCCTCGAGGTGGAGGTGGCCCTGCGCGAAGAACTGCCTGTCCACCTCGCTCATCCCTTCGTTGGCCAGCATCTGCCCCATCCGAGCCCGCTCGACCGGGTCGCCCGGCCCCTCTCTGATGAGCTTCTGCCCCCCCGGGCCCTCGACCGCCGCGATCTAGGCCCTGCGACGAAGAGAACGAAGGTCGATCGCCGCCTTGCCCTTGTCGCGCGAGCCGCCGCTCGCGAGCTTCTTCTTCGGTGGCAGCTCTGGGCGCGAAGCTGCCGTCACTGGGCCGGGTCTCACCGATGGCTGGAGCCAAGAGGGGCTCTGGGCGAAAGACGGGCAGCTGTTCCCCGAGATCGACTCCAAAGGAAGGGGGGAGAGGGGGGTCGGAGGGTGGTGAGCCTACGCTGCTACAGCTGCTGTGATCCTGGGCTCTCACGCCAGCCCCTGAGAGCGATCCTACAGAAAAGCGGGCGCGGAGGTCCCGGTCGACCGCGAAGTCGCTGACCTGAACCCGCTGCAGGAGGGCCGGGTGCACCGCGAACTTGTCGGGGGACCTGTGCGCGAGCGCCACGGCGCGGTGGCCCGCGGGGCGCGCGATCAACTGGCGCCCCACCCGGTCGCCGTCCTCGCCCACCGCCATCGCGCCACTCTCCAGGTCGATCGAAGCCCCAATCATCGTCCACAGTCTGGCTGGAAGCAAGGGCGGGCAGGCGTGGGGAAGCACCGGGAACTCCGCGATGCCGCATCCAGCAATCGTTATCGGGACCCACGCCTTGGCGACGGGAGTCGTCTGGCCACCGATGCCGGACGCCGCGGCGCCCTTCACGAGAGCCCAGTTGACCTTGACCTTGTAGCGCAAGTCCTTCATCTCCTCCATCAGCACCTCCAGGTTCGGCTTGCCGATGAGCGCCTGAGCCTCCGCTGTGACCGCCAGGGCGTGGGCCCCTGCGCTCCTGAGGCTGAGGAAGGTGGTCGCGGCCTCGGCGTCCGGGCTCGACCGCAGGTGTCGAGGCCACCTCTGAACCAGCTGCGCTCGTCGCTCTCGTCGAAGGTCTTTGGTCACAAAGGTGCATGCGGAGCCGAAGTCGCCGTCATTCTCGAAGAAGAACTTGGGCCCGTTGCCGCCTCCTGCCGCCTTCTTGACTTTGCCCTTCTCGGCCGTCATTCTGTCGCTCTGGGACCGGCGCGGGCCCTCGCAGCCCTCGGCCCAGCGGCCTTCTCGCCGCAGTTCGCGCACCTGGAGCGCTTCTTCAGGTCCGTCGTCACTAGTCGCTTGAAGCCTGGGCGCGCTTTCTTGCGGTCGAAGAAATCGCGATCCACGCGCTTGGCCATCTTGAGCTTGCGCGACTCCTTCCACGTCCTGCGGCGCTCTGTGTCGCGGCGCTCCTCAGCCACTGCGGCCAGCACGTCGATAACCTCCTCCTCGTCCAGGTCCTGTCCCTCAAGCATCTCGAGGAAAACCTCCGCCTCCTCGACGGGCAGCTCTGCTTCGCCCCCGAGATCGTCGTCGTAGAAGACCTCCTGCACGTCGGTGGGCTCGCTCCCCCCGTAGGTTCTGACCGGGGGCGGGGGGGCCGAAGGGAAAACTTTCTTCTCCGTCGCGTCCATCTGGAGGAAGGCCTGTCGTATAGACGCGAAACCGGTCCCCCCCATCGCGAGAGCCCCCATGTTCAACTTCTTCTGACTCGACAACGCCGCGCCCTCCTCCACGCACCTCGCCTTCAGCCCGTCGGGTAGGGGTAGTCCGTGAGTCTCCGCCTCGGCCACTTGAGCGTCACGTCGGAGAACGTAACCATTCAGTGTATCACCTCTGTGAACCATGTAGTCGAACAGCGCTCTATTCTGAGCCTCGCGGGCCCTGTCTCCTGGTCGTTCGCCGGTGAACACCGCTAAGTGATCGAGCATATTCATCACTCCGTCCTCACCGTCCAGAACTTTAGCTGAAACTCGGTCGGGAAGGACTCAACTATCTTGGAGGCGTGGTGTCTCGGCTCATGTCCAGTGCGTCCCGACCAGGGAGTAACGCTCTGCCGAAACATCTCCAAGTGTTCGAAACCTAGCCAGCTCGGTGGTGGACCGAAGTCTTTGGTGCGACTGTGGGAGCCCCCGCTCCAGTCGGCGCTGGCCGACCACCAGTCTCCCCATCCTCTGGTCCACCACCACGAGTTCGAATCCCAGCGATCACCGCCGGCGTGGTCGTCTCCATCCACCTCGAAGGTCGACGCGTCCTTCTGACGTCGTCCCTCGTCCCACCACTGCATCTCTGTGGCGGCGTCCACGGTTCTGGGTCTGGTCGCACTCCGCGCCGTGTCATCGGCGCCCGTATCCGCGCTGCCTCTAGCTCTGCCCTCACCACCACCGTGTTCTCCCTCAACCATCGCTCCGCTTACCAACTGTCGTCACTCAGACGGGCGATGGTGACGGGAGGGGGTTCATTTTTGTGGCAAGGCAGGAGGGGAGGGACGGGGCACTCGACATCCTGGGCGTCGGTGCGCATCTAAGCCAGAGGCTGCGGGGGAACAATGGGGCAAAAGGGGAAGGACGGAGAGGACACAGAGAGGAAACGGGGAACAGGGCTCTCTGGCGCCTCGTCGACTTCTTTCTCAGAGGCGCGGACCTCTTCCAAGGGCGTCCAGGGGGCCCCAAAGCTCTGGATCCCGGGGATTCGGTTTTGGAGGTGGGGGGTGACGGTTTTTCCCGCCCCCCAGGCTTGCAAAAATATACGAGGAATAATTAGATGTATCGTCCGATAGGGGATCGCTGCACCCCTCCCCGCCCCCACAAGATGGCGAAGGAGCACGCGCAGAAGAGCTTGGAGTACCGCGCGATCCTCGCGGCCGGGGCGGCTGATGCGGACGTGCGCGCTCCCCTCAAGGACTGGCCCTCGGCGTTCCGTATGCCGTCGAGGCTTGAATCTAGAAGTGGCACGTTCTAGAGCCAGGCAGGGCAAAACAATGCACATCGACATGAGAATTCTTTGGTTTCAACCATTACGCAATACGAATACTACTCTCCTCTCTCGCCCCCGACACTGTCCTGAAGAGCTCCGCCCTCTCCGTGTGCTATTATTTCGCTCGGGAGCTCATACGTTGACATGTCTTTTGCTTTTCAATGGGAACCTTTACGGTGTCTAAATGGTGTTCCCGCTGCAGCGTGGGCCGCACGCCTCATCTTAGGACCGGTGTCTTGCTCCCGCCGTTCAGGATGGCGTTGTCGTCCCAGCTCGGGCGACTTATTTGGTTCTGAGTCCTTTCGTGTGGTTGTCGCCCCGCTCCTCTTCCCGATCCCTCGCCAACCTTCCTCTGATCATCCTGCGCCTCCCGCTCCTCCCTCTCCCGCTACTGCTGCTGCTGTTCTTTATCGCCCAATTCCTTCTTCACCATCCACCTCTCCTTCTTATCCTCCTGATCATCCGCAACCACCTCCTCCTCCTCCGCTGTAAGCAGCTCCCGTTTCTGACACGATTTGGTCCCCCTCTCATTTTCCCCCTCCCCAGGGGTCCAAAGTCCTGCTCTAGGGGGCGACAAGCTCGTCAACGCACCTCAGAGGCTCGCCCGAGCCTTCAGAGAGCCCCAAAACAATCCATGAGAGCCCAACTGGAGCGCCGAGAAAGTCCAAAAAAGCGTCGAGACGGCCCAGGGTCAACCCGCGGCGGTCCAAGATGGCTTCAAGATAGCCCACGAAGCCCCAAAGACGGCCCAAGAGCGTTCCCAGAGGACCGCCGAGAGGGCCACAAAACGCAAATGTCTTCCCATTCCCCTGAGAAAACATACACAGTTTCGACGTGCTCGACGTTCTCGTCTTGACAGCGTCCAATATGGCCCCAGGGGCCCCGAAGATCTTCCCAAGACGGCTCATGAGGCGCCCAAAACAGGGCCCGAAGACCGCCCAATACGGCCCCAACACGGTCCCAACACCGCCCCAACACGGCCCTAGGTGCCCCAACACGGCCCCAAGGGGGTCCCAACACGGCCCCAGGTGCCTCAAAGACAGCCTGGAGGAGCCCCAAGAACGGACCAAGAGGAGCAATACGAACTGACATCTCGAGCATGTCCCCCTTGATGGCCCCAGAAGCCCCACAGGGATCCTCTGGGCGTCCCCAAGAGGCTTTCAAGAGGCCCTCAAGAGCCCCACAACAGGACCCCAAGAGGGCCCAAAAAGCCAATCAGATACCCCCGAAATAATGGGTGAGCCTTCATGGGAGCCTGTGTGACTCCGCAGCCCTATAAGCAGCGTGATTTCGACGGGCTGTCGTCAAGATCTCTTTCGTCCAGACTTCGTCCAAATTTCGTCAAATTGTCGATCACTTGTCGACCACTCGTCGGCCAATTTCAACAAGATCCGGACAACATCAGAAAAGCAGCAAGGAAGTTGGGCCCCCCCTGGGGCCCCCATGAAGGACCACACAACAATACCCTCTACGAGGCCCCTGAGAGTTGAATTCTCGCGGGCGTTGCAAAAATACCCAGCCATTCCCTCTCCAACACAGCCTACTGAAAGCCCTCGACGTCTCTACTCCTCTTGGGGTCGGTGAAATGGCGCAAGCCACCTGAGTAGAAATCAAAGCAGTCGGAAGAGATGGGTGGGAGGGATCAGATGTCAAATATGGCGCGAAAGCACCTGGCCTGTCATGCCCCCTCTGCCCACACCGCGCCGCTCTCCCGTCGCTCTGCCTGTTCTGCGCGCGGACGAGGAAGCGCTGACGGCGCCGGCATGACCACGCGCGTGGCTCCGAAGTTCCAGAACCAGCCACGGGCATCCTGCAGGCCCATATCGCTGGACAGCTCGCGGCCCCACCGGTCCCATATACTTTCTCGATCCGCAGGTTGCCATAGGCTGCGCGGGGGAGGGGGTCCGAAGCCTGCATCCCTCACCCCTCCGTATCCCCTCCCAATGTTTCTCTTTATCTCTCTCTCTCTCTCTTGCTCTCTCTCTCTCTCTCTTCTCTCTCTCTCTTTCTCTTTGTTTGTTTCTCTCTCTCTCTCTCTCTGTTTCTCTCTCTATCTCTCTCACACTCTCTGAGAATACTATTCATCGTATGCACCTGCCCTGCTGCACATGCACGAATGGGGGTGCCCTCGGGTCCCTTCGAACTTTCTGCGCTGAATTCTGTCACGATTGCTTGAGGGGCCCACCTTCCAGAGTTCCATGCGTTCCTGAGCGCTCTCGCGCGCGTCCCTGGGCGTTCCTGGGGGGTCCCCGCGTGACCTTTCGAAGGCCAAGAGTGCGGTGTTTGGTACACGCATGTCAATTGTTTTCAGATGGCCCTGGGGGCCCTCCTGGAACATTCTCGGGCGCCCCTTGTGCCGTCTTGGATGCCCTGGAAAGCGGCCCAGGGAACCAACATCATCAAATTTGGAATGATTGCTTTCGAATTGCCGCCTCTGCGATCTTCAGAGCGTCCAAGGCGGCCCAAGAGGCGCCCGAGATCGCCCCAGAATGGCCCAAAAGCCCCCAAGACGGCCCCAAGAGCGGCCTAAGATGGAGAACGCGAACTCGCATTTTGAGCCCGCCGCCCCCGAAGCGCGCCGAAGAGGCCCCCACGAGGCCCAACTCAGGCCGCTTTCAAGAGGCATCAGAGATGCCTCCCAAAGCAGCCTGTAGACATCACATCGTGAGATGTAGTCTTGGTCGTAAAAGATGGAAGTGGGAGGCGTCTTCCAGGAAAAAATCTCATCCGATGCAATAGCGGATCGACAGCTCTGCTTACGATCCGGACAAATAGAGCGCCAACCGCTTGAACAACAAACGGCAGCGCGGACGGTAGGAGTAGTCTTAAAACATAGACCTCCAACTTTAAAAGCATTATTGCTGTGTTGGTGTTAGCGGTCCATCATTGATAGGGAACCGAACTCTATACACCAACGCTTTTTTCCAGCCCTGTACGGAAACTCCCACGAGAAAGCGGATCCTGGTGTATACGGGGTCCTGGTGTATACATTGTTCTTTGTTTCCTTTGGGAAACGGGAAAAAAGAATACACCACACGACCCCGACGTCGTCCCCGACCCTCAACCAGTCCTGGGATTGAAAGAGAGCCTGCCACTGGTAATGTATATGTTCCAGCTTCCGACTTGAGTTCGCGCAGTGCGACGACGGTCGGGTCCAGTCTCCTAGGTTGCGGGCTGCTGCTAGCGCGTCCGCAAAGTAGCTCGACCTAACCTGCACTCGATGCGACTTGCAGAAGGCATCTATCAAGTGTGCGACAGGGTTGCCATCGCGCGTGTTTCCACGCCTGAAAAGGTCGGCATGTCTGATGCCGTGCTGTTTGGTTTCGTCTTCGGCGTCTCCGGTCATCCGCCGGCATTCTGAGTCGCTGTGGAAATACAGTTCTCTGGTGGGCGCCGTGGCTGGAAATGTTATCTTTTTAGGTTATGTCTAACTGTTGCGCGTGATCGCGTTGAGCCGCCGCACCTGTAAGTTCGTCGATTCCTGCGCCCGCTGTAGGGAGACGACGCAAACCATCAGCCAGACTTGGGCCATGAAGGCATATGCGAGTGCCCCGCCGAGGCGAGCAAACATGCGCGGGACAATTCTGGTAGCCTTCAGCCCCCACACGCTTCCCAGGCGTTTGATGGGGCGGAATTGTTGAGCGTATTAGTCCTCGTCCAAAGTGACGTCGCCCTTACCGGCTTTCGCGTATCTGTCGACACAAGTGGCGCAGATGCGTTCGTTGAGCTTGCACGCGCCAAACGCGCGCTCAACATGTCACACAACGATCGAGCGTTTCATCGATACCAGTCATGTGTATGTAAAGATGTATGTATGTGAGTATGCGTGTATGTGTGTATGTATGTATGTATGTATAGATGTATGTATGCATGCATGCATGTATGTGTCTGTATCTATGTATGTATGTGCGGGGCAGGCGGGGGTGAGCGATAGCTCAACGAATTAAGGAGAAATGTCTTTCCCTCTTCAATCGGCCAAGGCTGTTGACAGAGCTTAAACTCCCATGGGCACCTATATATATATTTACAGAGGCCTCTGCACGGAGCTCGACAGGTCTACTCTCTTTTGCACGGGCCGACCCCCCACGCCAGAGCACAGACCGCACCCCGAGGCCAGAGCTGGATTCGCAGACCACCATCCGCGGACTGGGGTCGACCACCATCACGGGAGACTGGGGCCAGAACGCTCCACGGCCTCGGGGGCCAGGGGAGGCTCGACGGCCTTGGGGGGGCCAGCAAAGAGAACCCCCTGAGATCCCAGCAGGACCGTGCCCAAGAAGCTCGAGCTCTCGCGAGACTCAAGGAAGCATTCGCCACTTAGGGCGGCATGTGGGTGGGCCAGAACAGCTGCCATGCAAGCGAATGCGGCCGATGTGACACGCTACCCCCCCGACGCCCACACATCTACCGTAAACGTATACATGTGTGGGGCAGGCGGGGGGTGAGCGATGGCTCAACGAATTAGGGAGAAATGTCTTTCCCTCTTCAATCGGCCAAGGCTGTTGACAGAGCTTAAACTCCCATGGGCACCTATATTTATATGTACAGAGGCCTCTGCACGGAGCTCGACAGGTCTACTCTCTTTTGCACGGGCCGACCCCCCACGCCAGAGCACAGACCGCACCCCGAGGCCAGAGCTGGATTCGCAGACCACCATCCGCGGACTGGGGTCGACCACCATCACGGGAGACTGGGGCCAGAACGCTCCACGGCCTCGGGGGCCAGGGGAGGCTCGACGGCCTTGGGGGGGCCCAGCAAAGAACCCCCTGAGAACCCAGCAGGACCGCGCCCAAGAAGCTCGTCAACTCTCGAAAAAGACACCGAAGCTCTCCATTCAGTGTTTTCCTCTGGCCGTAGGCCGAAGATATATCAAGACTGGCGACGGCACCACGGGCAGCAGCTCGCACCAGACATCAAAAATTATTGCAGCAGGTCACGGGCTGCAAAACGCTCGGACTCGAGCGAAAAGTGCATTGGAGAACTGCTGGAGCGTCGAACGGGCACGATCCTGGAGCTTCATCTCTGCGATGATGGCAGCCCCGTCTTGTAAATATGTGCCGTCCTTGCCGAGCTCCAGCGACCGCGCAGCATGACCTTAGACAAGTCGCCCGACAGCAGGAACTCATGCGTGGCACCTCCGCGCCTCAGGCTGTAAGGAGACAGGGCGAGGTGCTTGCAACCGATCTGCTGGAGCCCAATACGGAACAAGTCGTGAAAGGCGCGCGTCGAGCCAGGCCAGAGCCGGCTGTCACGCCGGAGCTGCATATGGACGACTGCCCCAACCAGCGGGTCGTCAAGCGTGACTTGCTCCCGCGCGCCCTTCTGGCAAGAGGTCTTGGCCCAGGGCAACGACGCCGCGCCTTGGCCACAGGGCTTCAGAAAGATGACGCCGCCGCTCAGCCCCAACGCCTCGCCAGTGCGGAGACAGAGATGGAAGGTCACGAGCAGCGCGGCCGCGAAGGCCACCTCTCCGCGGCTGAGCGCCCAAGCGGCGAGCGCCGTGCAGACCTGGGCAGGCATCGGCGGCGCGCGCTGAGGGATCTCCAGTCTGCCCCAGACCGTCAGCAGCTGCCAAGCGCCAGGAGAGCGGCGCCGTGTCCTCGGCAGGTGCTGCACGCCGCTGAGGGTGTCATTGGCTTCTCCTTTTGTGGCGCCCTCGGCCCACTAGTGCTCAAGATAATCTTGCAGGCAGATGTCAATATCGACCCAGGTGAAAGGCAGCGGCAGGTTATTGGCAGCAAGGTAGTCAACAAAACGCTGAGCTGCGCCACGGTAGCGGGCCAGTGTCGAGGCCTTGATCCTGGCGTCTCTCAGCTTCCCCAGTCCAGCTCTGGCGGCGCGGCGGTCAGCAGGGCTACTCCGCTTCTTACCCATCGCGGAGGCGCGAGGGGGCGTCCGCGGGGTTGCGAGCCGACGACGCGAAGCCGAAGACCGCCCGCGCGCCCATCGCAAGCTCCCACGCCGAGAAGGTCCGCACCACCTTATTGAGCTGAGGACTGCTGGAACGGTGCTTGGACAGCGCACCGACGTTGACCATGCTGTCGAGCAGGTGCAAGAAGACGCACTGGTGGCGGCGTGCCGACCGCGCCCGCCATCGAATCATCATCAGCGCGCCCTGGCACTCAAGAACGTTGATGTGCTCTGCTGCATCCCACACTAGCTGCCTTGCCTTGCGCCACCGCCAAATGCCTGAGTCGATCTCCTGCCGCGGGAAGATCTTGCCGAGCGCCTCCGAGGCGCCATCGGTCCTGATGTCTGCTCCGTTGTTGTGGCACGCCATGACGAGCCCCATGACGATGCGTCTGGATGCGTCCAGCTCGCGCCGCTCCACCACGTCACGCTTCGCCAACTCCGCCAAGAGGATGTCCGCATGGCACGCCTGGCTGGGCCCACAGTGACAGACCAGCAGGGCCCCGCGCAGCGTCTCCAAGCTCTGCAGAAGGGTGGGCTGCGTGCGAATCCAACCAGCGAGCAAGGCAACGGCGTCCTCGCGCGACCGCTCGGGGCCGATCGTGAAAGGGTTGCCCCACCGCGAGGCAGCCAGCCCCCAGCGGCGAGACCAACGACCCACGTAGATGGGCCCGCCAGCCTGGTCCAGCTTGGCGCGCAGGCCCTCGTCGATCTCGGAGCGACCGCACCGCAGCGACGTCACGTCGCCGGCCCACAGCTTCCTGCCACCAGCCCAGGCTCGCGCACTCTCGTGCAGGTCACCCAGCGAGGGCACCGAGACCAGCAGCCCAGCACCGACGGCCCAGTGGCTGATGATCCAGGCCACGACCTCGCACTGGAAGGAGTTGCCCACGAGCGACCGCCGAAGAGCCTCGTACTTGGCGGGCTCGGCCTTCGCCTGGCTGCTCGTCATGCACGGCGCGGTGTGGCCCTCCGG